GACGTCCAGTGCGCTGATCATCCGAGCAGTCTCCAGCAGGCGATCGTACAAAGCGGCCGGCTGTTTCTTTAACGCCCCTACAGATCCACCTGGCTGAGGGACTGCAGAAGAGTGCTGTCGTTGTCGTCGGTTTCCTAGGTGACCAGGCCAGGCGGCCAGAACACCACAACAAGAAGAGCTCACTTATGCTGAGTAATTATGCTGGTCTTTAAAATCGGCGGTCGTCGAGCCCTGGTGGCCACCCTGCCACTTGCCCGCTCCTTCAGTGCTCCGTCATCAGGCACCGGTGAAGGTGAGCCGGCACTGACACTGCAGCTGACACTGGCCATCATCATCAGGCCGCACATCGTCAAGGACCCCCTCCTACAGTCTGCAGGCAATTCGCCAGATCGCCCTCGACGATGGCTTCTACTTTGCGTCCGCTCCGCCAGCAGGGCAAAGTTGACCACCTCCGACGCCGAAGAGTTTTACGCCGAACACCGAGGTAAGTAGGAATTTTTATTGCAGAATGAAGTATTCATAGGTGAACAAAAGAATGAAAAAATAAACTAAAGTTAGTGATTTGTACAGATTGTATGATCATCAAAAGAGAAGAGAGTTTCTAATCGATCCTTGCTTGTTCTTTCCTTACTCCCTCTCAGGCAAGCTCTTCTACAATCGTCTGGTGGCCTTCATAACAGCAGCAGCGGCGACTGTGCAGTGCACGTACTGGCTCGCACCGACGCCATTGCACGATGCATTGGACGCTGATGGGACCGACAAAAGTGTACAGGTGTGGAGGAAATGGGAAGGAGAAGATACAGCTGAAACTGATGATGATGATGATGAACATTTTTCCTGAAGAACTCGCCTGGAACAGCCGACGACCATCAGGGGCCGCTTCGGGGCGACAGACACGAGAAACGCCACTCACGCGGCTCCGATTCAGTGGAGACGGCGAGCAGCAGAGAGGTGGCCTTCTTCTTCTTCCCCGATTCGTTAGCATCGCCCAGTGGGCTGAAGAGGAAGAACCGCTGTTCTGCCGGGGCAAGGTCGACTTTGATCGGCAAAGGTGGCAACACACTCCCCTTGGGTGACTGATGAATTTCCTCGCTGATGATGATGATAATGAGAGCTTATGTACAGATGATGAAAATAAAGTTCATTCAAAGACTACTCCTCCTTCTCTTCCTCCTCCTCTTCATCCTCGTCGGCCAAGTAGATTGGCGGCGGAGAGCACACCTGAGTCGTCTTGAAGAGCGCGCTCACCTCCTTTTTGTCATCATCACCACCACCATCACCATCATCGCCCTCCTTTCTGATGACCAGATGGCCAAAGTAGGCAGTGAGCGTTTTTACCTTCTTCTTGTAGAGCATGTTCTCCTCAATCTCCACCGACTTTTCCATCTCGCCGCCGCCGACGTTCTGGCAGACGAATGAGCTAAGTGACGGCAGCTCGCCCATGTCAAAGTTGCGCGGCAGGAGAAAGGAAATGTTCTTCGTGACACGGTCGGCGACGTAACGGGAAAAATCTCAAAGCCGTCGGGAGTCATCTGCGCCAGCGAGTAACTCTCGTAGGTGAGGTAGTAGTGAGGGCTGGACTGGCCCCAGGGTGAACTGAGGAAGCAGGCGTCGACGAGGCTGCAGGGAGACAAGGCGGTCGCCCTGAATCACCTCAAAAAAATCGGCCACAATAAACTGAATCTTGTCGAGGCAGCCGTAGATGGAGGCGTTGTGACGGGCCAGCTCAATCTTCCAAGGGGATCAATCTTCCACGGCGTAGACGAGTGCAGTGCTGGGCATCAGAGCAAACTGAATGAATGGTTGTGGCCGCCGGCGCCGCAGAAACCGTCCCGACTGATGAACTGGTTCGCTGAAGATGATGATGAAGAGGATGCAGTGCACTGTGACTGATCAGCGCCCGCTCGATGCGCTCGAGCGCAATGTGCCGCGCTATGGGCTCGGGCGTCACCGAGTACCAGGACTCGAATCAGTCAAGGCGGATGCCCTCGTTGAAGCGGGAAAAGAGGAGGAATCGCTGCTTAAAGTAGACTCGTGTTCAACTGCCGCTTTAAGCGCTTTTTCTTCGGCGTTGAAGAGGAGGAAAAGGAGGTGAAAAGGAGCTGGTCCTCTCGGAAAATCTCCGAGCCGGTGGTGGTCATGTTGTCGTCCTCCGATCGGTCGCGCTTGTTCATCACTTGCTTCTGCTTACGGAAATGCGCAGTTTGTCCAGCTCGATAAAGTCGTAGCTGTCATCGGCGAGCTTGAGGGTGGCCACCTCGTTCGGATTACTAAAGGAGACATCACTGGAAATGGTGTTGATGGTGATGATGATCTGAAAGCGAAGACTTCTAGCTAGTTCTGGTCAGTCCGACTGGATTCAAAGTGATTTTCACTGACAGAAAGCCCACACGCTGCTGCTGCAGCCCACAACAACAAGCGTAACAGCATCTGTGGAGCGGTCGAAGCACGTGAGAGAAAAATGTAAACACACTTCAAATTCTTTGGCCAAATGTTCCGCAAACTCCCGGTTCCTCTCTGGGCCGCCCACCTAAAGAAGTGCATCAACTCTCAACGGATGGCAGCCACAATGCCAGCAGACGCCCACAGCAAGTACCAGCACGAAGCCGCTGATTGTGATCATCGGAGCGACCGTCTGCGGCAAGACGAAGCTCTCACTGGAGCTGGCCCGACGTTTCAGCGGCGAGGTGATCAGCGCCGACTCGATGCAAATCTACCGCGGACTGGACATTGCCACGGCCAAAGCCACCGCTGAGGAGCAGGCCCAGGTGCGACATCACCTTCTCAGCCCTGGTGGACCCCTTCAAACAGTTCACCGTACTGGACTTTCAACGACTGGCGCTGGCGGCCATCGACGACATTCTCTCCCGACAGAAGGTGCCCGTCATTGTGGGCGGCACCAACTACTACATCGAGTCGATCCTCTGGGACACGCTGGTCGGCGCATCAAATGCTGCTGATAGAAGGACTGGTGGACACCGACGAGATGAACATCGTTGAAGAGAAG